AAAAAAAAAACAACCAACCAAAACAAAAAATGTAGAAAAACGAAGAATCAAACAAAGACAACTAAAGCTTTAACAAAGTAAGGTGTGAATACAGTGAATATATTTTTGCTATAAAAATAAACCTGTACCTTTGTAAGTTGAATGGCAGTTCTCTTTATAGTTGGTAAGGGTTTTACAGATCATTTCCAGGAACTGACTGGAATACTGTGGTAGATTATGCATGAGGTTCTTTAGGTCTTGCATCAGATGATACAATGTCACAGTACTCTGAAGGATAAAGAAGAAGAAATATGCCTTAATATTTAAATAAACCAGACATTTCAATCGAACCAAATTGCTCTATTTGACTATGACATCACAGCTTGTTTATAAGGGGGGTCAGAATGGTGTACAACAAAAACAATAACAAGTTGGACTCATTTTACTCTGCAGCTGAATTGATAGCTCTGATATGTCTGGTTTTCAAACACTTATAAACTGGTATTTATTCTACAAAACATACAACATACGGCTATTTCACAAAAAACGTTGAATGGGCAAACGAACGACAAATGGCGATCGGTGATTGGCGATGGCACGACCGAAAGGCACCGTGGGCATGCATCTAAACACGAATATTCATGATATTTTAAATGGTTTCGTCGACTCCAAACAACGCTGAATATCTCAACAATAACATCTGAGTTACTAACGAGAATAATGATAAGAAATACAAGTCATTTCTTGTATCTTGGAATGACCTATCTACTACTCTTATCGCCTATCGCTTGCTTTAACATACAGTCAATTCAAAAAACGTTGTCGTCGACCGGCTCAAGCCTACGCGACTGGACCGAAAGGAATATGGGTAAAAATCACTGAAGCGGTTAAATATTCGTTCTGGATTAATTGTTCCCGCTAGTAATAAGATAATAATGGCGAGAAACAATCCAACAAATGCTGTCTTAGGGAAAGAAAAGCAAAGTAGTTATGATTCAGTTCACAATTCCGAAAATATGAAGGCATTAAAAAAACATCTCCTTCAACACTTCCCGCTCGCCTACGAAGGTTCGTGCTGTAAACCAGTCATAACTAGTCAGATAAAATTATGGAGTCAACCGTGGACTTAAATGATTGCTGCCCAGAGTTCCTTTCGGTCCAGTCGCGCAGGCTTGAGTTGGTCGACGACAACATTTTTTGAATTGACTGTATATCAAAATTGTTTTCAGGTGACGTCTTTATGAAATAGGGCAATTACTAAAAATAATTTTATTTTTGATTGATGACCGGGGAAACCAAAGCCCAGACGTAGATTACCGCTTTATTTGCCAGCCTATCAGATAAGATAAAATGCAAGTATCTTTTGAAACTACAGACAACAAACACCATTACGTGATGGCAAAAGATAGTCACGTGATACATGGATAGATAGACAGTCAGACAGACAGACAGAATGTTGTAATAAGACAGACGCAACACACCCTAGCTACTGTACCTGTAGTAATGGTCTTGCAGCACCAAGTGTCTTCAGTGTATTTGCATCAGCAAGGTGTTTAAAAGCATCCACACCTTCAAAATAACAAAAGTTAAACATATTTTCTTATAAATTAATTCTGTTAACAAAACAAAAATGGGGCAGGACACGTTAACAAAACAAAAATGGGGCAGGACACGTTAAAGTAACTTGACAGCTAAATGTGATATTTTGCATTGTGTGCGGCACTCTTCGAAGTAGTGATCATGGTAGTTGTGTGGCAGTAGTCCTAGAAGGTCAGTAGGCCTAAAGATTCAATTCCTGCTTGAACAGGTCTATAGCACAATGTCCCGATCAAGAACATTTACTTTTCCACGATCTTACTCCATCCATCCAGGCGTACACATTGTGGATGCCCGCAAATTATTCATCTGCAAATGCACTAGCTTTCCATTCCTTAAATAGATAATCTTCAGGTATAACATGACTCTTTTAATAATAGACATGTTTCGGCAGTCCTGCTGCCATCATCAGTGGCAGGACTGCTGAAGCATGTCTATTAAAAGAGTCATATTATACCTGAAGATTATTACACAATTTCCGCTCGTTAGACCCTTAACTGGATATTAAGACTTTTTAAATTTTTTTTATCAATGATACCTTTAGACTGGGAGTGGGAAACAGCTTCCAATTTCTCTGTGATTTCAAACTTTATTTTCTCAACAAAAATGTCCTTCACGTAGTCTGTGATAAATCCATACAAAGTGCATTTCATCCTGAAGAAAGAAATGTTCAAATCTTCATAATCGTCATCATCACCATCATCATCATCATCATGACCACCACCTCGTCGACATCACCATCACCACCACCATCACCTTGTCGACATYACTCTGACTTCTACCATCACCATTATCATCACCACCATCATCACCACCATCATCATCACCATTACCACCACCATCATCACCATCACCATCACCACCACCATCATTCATTACCATCATCATCATCACCACCACCATTATCATAATTATTCTCCGTGCATCGGTTGACATAACTAACCCTGGTTGCACACTGATGACTTGCTCTATTTCCTTTACAAATTCCATTATTGGCGAAAATACAACTAAAAACACAATGATAATATTAGAAATGTTATTAGTGGCCAGCCATTCGTTCGTCCGTCGAGGTAGCATCAAATATACTACAAATACTAACCTGTGATATTTCTAGGGTCTGGTCGGCATACTAACTCTGGTTTAGTATTGTGTAGCTGTTCACCATAGCCATCATCCATAGCTGACACCTAAATCACATGCCAAGCTACATATCAGTGTGCTATACCAACTCTCCAAAAAATGTTTTGCAGGTGGTCGCTATTGTACAGAGACTAGGGAGTTTAATTATCATGTTTACAGCAAAGGTGAAACATCGTACACTACATATTATTCCCGTTGACATCTCCATGCATTTTTTTAAAAAAACTAGCAAAGAAAATCAAAGTTTGGCAACTCTTTAAACCATTTTGGGGGAGTGTTTTGCAGGTTCACGCTGTTGTAGAGAGAAAATAAAGTTTAATCCTGATCTCGTTTACGGCAAAGGTGAAAATATCGTCACTTTAGCAAGTGAAAAATTCTTTAAAACTAATGTCAATTAGTTGATTAACGAAGAAAAAATACTTGTCTTTTGGTTTCCCTAAAGTGAAGTGTAGGGAAGCAATGAAATAATGGTCATGTTTGCCATTTGAGGAAAGAAAAAAAACTCGATGCTTTATCTATTTACATGTATTATACATTGCATGGTTACAGAACTTTGAAGTTATCAGGGTTCGTGCTGAAAATTCACTTAAAATTCAAGGACTATTCAAGGAGTATACAAGGACCCAAAAAT